TATTTAATCAAAAGGTTAAAAAATAATTCAAATTCCAGGTATTTTATTCCAGTTAAATGATTTTAAATGCGATTATATAGCAAGTAATACCTCGTTAAACGATGTAATTATTATCTATTATATTATCAATATAATAATAACTAAATATAAATATTTAGGTCAGCATCAAGTTCGCCAACCGAAACTATTGTTTCCTGGACACACCTGCGGTTGATGCGTACTGTAAAGTACCGTTAATGTGTATTATATTTTGGCTAGTGAAAACACGTATAAAAGGTAGATGAATCGGTTCAGATATATCACCGTATATTAATGCTCGGTCCTAATAACTAATAATCCTACTTCTACTGCTAATCTGTTCTAGATCCATCAATCCATTCACGAATCAATTATTTTTAGTTACTGGGACCGATATTTGAAAGTGATTTGATGAATATTACGATGTTTTAATATTTATCTGCTAGTTAAGACCCGACTCTTAACGAATTTTTTACTAAAAAAGTATTTTCCCATTTCCTTCACCATTTTCTTCCCTTAAATAACGTTTAAATTTATATTTTACTGACGATATATACACGATAAACTTAAAAATAAGAAACTTTTTACAATATAATATTTATGAAAATTGAGATAAAACATTGTACAATTTGCAATATTGAAATAAAAATAAAATCAACGGGACACTATCACAATATTTTCCTAGTTTTCCTCATGAAAGTCCAATCCATTGTTATCAAAAAGTCTAAATAAATAATATTTTTTACAATTTGCACTCTAGTCTCTCAGTTATTTGCAAAATTAGATACCACAAACAAATAGTTTTAGAGCAATAATTTTACTGTTTAAGTTTGAAGCAGGAATTTACAGCTTCTTAGATTACAAGTAATTTAACAACTATGTACAGTGTAGTTAAAAGCTGTGCATTCGTTATGAGCTGTGCAATGTCTTTGAATATTTTTATATCTTAAAGTATATATTCTACTTACCAATAAAGCAGAGGTACAATTAAACATAAGGATAAATTTAATATTATACTATTACAAGAATTAATATTAAACTCAGCAGGCTTCTAGGTTGAACCACGTCGATTATCATTTCGCCAAGATTTCGACATCCTCCCTGATGTCTTCTTCAGGGCTTTCGAGTATCAGTTTACCGAGCCCCCAAACACTACTACATTGATCAATAATCAATGCAATTACTGAGTAGTGCTCAATAATGTCACTAATCAATGCAATTATTGAGTAATGCATTGATTAGTGATCAGTGCAGTATTATCTAAAGGCTCGGGACCTCAGAAACCTCGGAAGCCCTAAAGAAAAAGCTCGTCGCAGTGATAACCGACGCGGTTCAACCCGGAAGACTGTTGAGTTTAATATTAATTCCTTTAATAGTCTTAATCTTAGCACTAAGTTTAATTGTACTAACCGCGGAAACCTTTTCAAACATATATATATATATATATATATATATATATATATATATATATATATATATATACTTCATCTAATTTAGATAACGACTTACGTCATTATCTATGTCAGAGATCGAAGTTGATATAGTTGTCAAAGTATAAAAAAATCCTGACTCCATTTTAAATCAAATAGATTACATAATTATTGCAAAAGTATTACCATCTCTTTACAATGACTATTTAAATTCTTACGTGAAATTTAAAAAAAAAAAACACTAATTTTGTTCTAAAAAGAACAGATTTTATTAGATAGTTAAAAATATAAAACAAGAGATATTCACTTTAAAATTCAAAATAATGAAGTACAAAAAGTATCAACACCACAACTGTCCAAATTTATACCAATTTATGCCAAAATTTTACCTTCGTTCGATTACAGTTACAGTGTGTTCCGAACAAATGTTCTTGATAAAAACGCTTTATAATGCATTTATACAAATTAAATGAAACATATTACATATTGTGTATTTCTTCAAGTTAACAATAAAAGAAATTTTTAAATATGATTTCTACGCGTATATAATAAAATATGTCTAGTGGCTGTAATGTCAGTGTACTCGGTAAAGTGGTTCTAAAAAAGAACACACCTACACCCTAAATATTTTGTGTTGGTATCATGTGACGCCACAGGCTATGACGCCGATGACGTGCATCGTTATATAAATTAGATGAAGTGTATATATATATATATATATATATATATATATATATATATATACATAATAAATATGGTATTGAAGCACATATTAGTCAAGTCTAACTAATGTCTCCAAAATCTCCCACTTTCGGTGGCTCGAGCACAGACGTGTCACCTGCTCTGGTGGCGAAGAACTAAACAATTTAATAAATAATTGTTTTCTGTCCTCTGACATGTCGAATATTTGCAAATATTAAATTTATTACATAGGTATTAAATAGAAAAGGACCAACGTTATCTACCAAACTCTTTAAGTTTTGGAACATGCTTTAAAAAATTGGAGTGGGAAGCCAAAGGATCAATTTCGACGACGAAATGCTCTCTTGCCTACGATTTACCTACGATTTGCGGGGACTTGACTTTGCTACGGTTCCCAGCGAAGAGATACAGATTAATAACAACAAGGTCGAATTAATCGATAAATACACATACTTGGGTTATGAAATTAGAATAACCAGAGACAACCAGACCTGCGAGCTAAATAGACGAATCACGTTGGGATGGGCGGCATATGGAAGGATGAGAGACATTTTTAAAACAAATATCCCAATTCACCTTAAAAGGAAGGCATTTAAAAAATGCATCGTATCAGTCTTGAACTATGGAGCAGAGACCTTAACTTTAACGAAAGCTACTGCCGAAAAACTGAGGGTAACACAAAGGCGAATGGAGAGATCAATGCTGGGCCTGACCTTGAAAGATCGCGTGAGAAATGAGCAGATACGCCGACGAACTGGCGTAGACGATATTATACTGCGAATCAATAAACAAAAGTGGAAGTGGGCTGGACATGTTGCTAGAATGGAAGACGGAAGATGGACGAAGAGATTATTGGAGTGGAGACCAAGAGCAGACAAGCGAAGTCGAAGCAGACCACCCACCCGATGGACCGACGACCTAAGGAGAATAGAAACAAACTGGATTGCAGCAGCTAAAGATAGAGAGAACTGGAGACGTTTGGGGGAGGCCTATATCCAACAATGGATGTGAAAATGGGACTGGATGATGATGATAGGTCATGATATATGGCGCCGAAACACTTTTCTTAACTCAGGGTGCAACCACCAAACTCAGAGTAGCCCAGAGAAGAATGGAACAGTCTTTACTTGGATTGACTCCCAGTGAAAGTGACAGACGACGTCAAAAAAATCGCTGGAAATTGGCTGCAGGAAGCTCAAGACCGACAGAACTGAGAGAAATTAGGGGTGGCCTATGTTCAACTTTGGAAGTAGATAGCTGAATGGTGATGATGACTGTTAAACCAAATTATTCCCCAGTTTCGCAAGTTGTATTTAGAAGCCCCTTTCTGCGATAATAAGTGTACCATCAGCACGATGTATGTTGTTTATAGTTTCATAATTTTTCTTGATTCCATCTGTACAGTTTTTAAGTGCTTGTATAACTAAACCCCCCTTCTTATTCTTCTTTTTATGTAGACATTAAACTTATTTTTATAACTTGTCATGTTTTAACGTTAAATTAAGTAAGTTTATTCGTCTATAATTGGAGGAAAGCTGTTTATTTCCCCTTAAACATGGGTATGGTAGTGGTAGGGATGATATGTCAGTAGAAGATTTTCTGAAATAATTGTGTCAGTTGTTGTATTAGATTCTGTCCTCTATATTTAAGCAGTTCATTTCGTAATCCATCCTATCCGGGGCTTTGTCTATTTTCTTTTTAATTTCTTTAGGACAGATTGTATGCCCTGCGGTTCAATTTCGATGTTCTCATTTATTATTATTTCTGGCGTGTTCAGCAATTCCTCATCAATTGAATCAATTCCTCAGTGTCTCCTATATTGTACCGTTCAGTGAGATAATCGATCTATTCTTCCTTAGGTATTTGATTCGTATCAACTAGTTCATTAACTTCATTTCTTCGGGAGTCATATAAGACGTTATCCATTCTTTTGGAAATGGTTTCCCAGTAATAGTTTTTTGATTGGTTCAGCATAGTCAACGTTTGGTTTCTTGCTGATCGGTATTTAAGGTAAGCCTATTTTTTTTAAACTGTTTCTTTAAACAACTAATTTAATTTATATAAATTGAATGATGATACAAATGTAAAGAACCAAACGATTAAGTATACAAATTGTAAATTTAAGACAAACGATACACCTACCTATTAGTGAAAATAAAAGTTGAGGACTCTAAAGAAAGAAGTTTGAAAACAGGGGCTGTTCATAAACATAAATAATTATTGGACCAAATTGTGCTATATTTATTTTGATAACAGAAAGTATTATTTATTTGCTTTACCTTATTTTGATTTGTCGACAATACACTTTACTCGCGGTATTGCAAACAAAACAAAACAGTTAAGTTGAATATCATGTATTCTAGACAGCCCAAATGCAAATAAAAAAATCACAGCATAATTTGAACTCCAAAATTTAAACCACGTACTCTCCACTAAAGGAATATAAATGTGTTACTTAACGTCTTTTTTCTTAACAATTATTCAATACTTAATTTGTTTACTACAAACTACCAATATGTGCAATTTGTAGCACACGGCTGTAATCCATAAGCGAAATAATGTTTTTTCTGTATAAATATCTGAATTTTTTATTAATATTAGTTAAATATGTTTTAATTCTTCTCTCTAGGAAAAATATTGCAATTGTATTTTAATATATTTGAAAACAGTATAGTATTTTACTGAAAACAGATATTTAAAAACCTAGAAAAACTCTGATTATAAAAAAGTTTTTTATAATCATTTCCTCTTAATAATTAATTTATATTATATTGAACCTTACAATTTAATTAACAATCAGGTAAACTTACAAAATAGTTCTTAACTTAAAATTTAGTTCATACTACTTACCGGAGTCATTTCCAAAGTGGTTTCCAAACTGAATTTAGGAAAAGCGACTTGAACAGTTTTGGAAACTAAACTGTCATTTTCAACAATATTCTTAAAGTTTGCCAAAGTTAATTTTTTTAATGTAGCTTCTATTGAGTTTTCAGTACTTGAGAATGGTGGGAGAAGAATGTACATACTTATATTATCTCCCTTATAAGGCATTTCCAAAATGTGTGCTCCCAAAGTTTCAGACACGTCTACAAAGAATTTTGATATTTTAATTATAATTACAAAAATATAACTGAAGAAATTAATGTCTACAGGGTGGTCCTTAAGTAATTGTACAAAAAGAAACCGTAGATGCTACACTTAAAAATATTACGATTTAAGCCAAATTGCTTTAATAAAATGTTGATAGTAAGAAAGATACAGGGTGTTAAAGTGAAAATTTAAAATTTTATTTTTCGCTTTAAATTTCATGTTTGTCAACATTTATGTATAAAAATTTATAACTGGGTACTATTGAATATCAGAAATTATAATTTGATGCACACTTTGATGTAGATGTTAGAGGGCGCCACATATGCTACATGTATGGCATACATTTGCAGTTAACTTTTTTGCTCTTTAAGTTACCGGTATTTTTCATAAAAAATATTAAAGATACATTATTTTACCAAAAAAAGGTATACCCGTTAATATCTTCAAAACTCAACAGTTTTTGAGATAATCGCATTTTACAAATCAACTACATAATTCTGATTTAACGCAATTACTTCAGGCAACGGAAGAAAATTAAAGAAAAACATCAATACTTCTAAATTTTGGCATAAAGTAGTGTAATAAAGTTAATAGTTAACGAATTATTAAATAAAATAAATATACCAGCAGGATAATTAATAATAGGATTTGACAAAATAACAGAATAATTGGATTTTACATCAAACATTTTACGTTTTGTATTAAATTAAAGTTATAATCAAAACATTTTATTTACAATGCAAATTAAGAAATCGTTAAACTAAAAATAACATTAAACTTTTTGTCAAAGTAAGTGTTCGACATGTCCACCATTTTCTTTAATTAATTTGTCAATACATTCCAAAAAAGATCGTCTCATTTTAAATAGTATCATCGTCTCATATTAAAGAGACAATTATATGACATGCATTTTAAATATGAATTTTAAATAAACGTATGGTTTGGAACCATTGGTAATAATTTTTTAAGGATATGCGAATTACCTTGTAATTCGAGTGGTGGGATTTATGTACATTTTTTATAAAATGATTTTATTGATTTATTGGAAGAATTGTCATCAAACTTAATACGAAATATGTGGTTTATATAAGATGGTACACCATTACATTACAGAGAAAGGGGAGTGAGAACAGTAATTAAATACAACTTTCTTAAACGTTGGATTGTTCGTGGTAGTCCTATTCCTTGGTCATGTGGTGAGATATTAATACAATTAGTTAATTCATAAAAATTACAAAAAATTACTTATTACTTATTACACATAATAATAAAATACTGCAGTAGTTTCTTTAGAACCAATGATGCTATTTAATATGAGATGATCTTTTATGGAATGTATTGACAAAATGAAATACAGAAAATGGTGGACATATCGAACACTTACTTTGACAAAAAGTTTATTGTTATTTAGTGTAACTACTTTTTAATTTGGTTTGTAAATAAAATGTTTTATTATGACTTTAATTTAATATAAAACGTAAAATGTTTGATGTAAAATCATATTGTTCTGTTATTTTGTGAAACCTGTTAATAATTATCCTGCTAATATATTTATCTTATTTAATATTTTGTTAACTATTAACTTTATTATAGGTGTTTTATAACAAAATTTAGAAGTATTGATGTTTTTATATATTTTTCTTTCAATTGATATAAGGTTGAATGGTCGAATAAATGAACTTTGAAAAATTAAAGGCAAATATCCAGCACACTTTTAATAATCAAATCTTGCCCAAGTACTTTCGCTTTCAATTTAAAAAGAATCGAGGCCTTCGAACTCTGGTTATACCGCAGAGTATTGAAAATATCATGGACCGATAGAATTACAAATAAAAAAGTACTAGAAGAAGTTGGTAAAGAAACAGAACTAATCACCACTATACAAACCAGAAAACTGGAATACCTAGGCCCCATGATGAGGGGACCAAAATATGAAATTTTGAGACTCATAATACAGGGAAAGATTCAAGGACGAAGATCTGTTGGCCGAAGGCAGAACACTTGGTTAAATAATCTACGTGATTTGTATCAATGCAGATCGATTGATTTGTTTAGAGCTGCAAGTTCTAAAATAAAAAGCCATTATGATTGCTAACCTCCGTAAGGAGACGGCACTCTAAGAAGAAGAAGCTAAAAGTTTAGCAATAGGATGCATTACTATCAGGAAGTAAATGGAGAATTAAATGCGAAACTACACAATCCAAATAAAATTAGTACGAGTCAATAGGTATTTTTAATACCTTTCAAATAATAAGATTATTTGAAACACTAGCTCTGTAAGGTCATCTATGACTATTATCTCACCTTTTATGACCATACTTTATTCAAAACCAGGATAAGCTCAAGTTCACGCCTATCAATAAGTGTGTAGTGATGTCGCAGCTTCAAGACAGCAAGAATTTATATAGTCAGTATAAGCCCAATAATGGCGTATGTAGCAAAAACAAGGTCCGACAAAAAAACAACAAGGACAGGGCTATTAGAAACGGCAAAGATGAAAATATTGGGAAAAATTACAGAAAATATACTGAGAGACTGAGTACATGGTATAAGCAAGTGAATACTAAATAGAAGAAAACATGGAATTACTTTACATAATCAAACAAGCAGAATTGCTTAATTATAGCGAGGATAATGAAGTAGAATTACAATAAAACAATAATATTGACTTACCATGTTTAAATGTTCCTTCGACATGCATCATATCAACCATAATCTGCTTTGAGGGACTTACATAAAACACCTCTTGTTTGGTATATTCTGGTGGAAATTTATTTTCCCACAACCCTTTGAAATATGCAGCATTTACCAAAACCAAATTTGTAGATGAGTCAATTGTGCCAGGAGGAATGAGATCTTTAATCATGTTGTGTGTAACATTTTCTACCCAGTTATTTATTTGTTGTCTAGCAGCTTCGGGACTAGTTTTAAAGTCTTTCATTTCCAATTCATTTGGAAAATCATTTAGTACGCATTCGCGTACTGGTACATCATTTTCTACATATATCTTGTTAGCGCTGGTGAATTCATAAGGGGCAGTTTGGGCTATAAATTTAGTCACGAATCTATCTACGTTATAAGCAGCGTAAATATCTGATTTTTCCTAAAATTAAAAAATAAATTAAAATTATTACTACAACAACAACTAACATTTCAAATGTTAACAACATTAATTATAAAATATAAGATTCTATTCTAAATTAAAGAATGATTCGAAGGATTCTAAAACGTATGATGTCCTACTAAAATGCTTTTGTTTTGTCACACCAAAAATATTCTATGCAGATTTATATTAATATTATAAATGAATATGAAAAATGCGAAATAAAACGTTTTAAGACGCACAAAACGGTACACTACAAATAAGCTCTATAGTAGCATGTTTGCCACTTAGTAACAAATACATTTCGGTCTAATAGTCGTCATCATTTTTCCATGGGTGGTAACAACTTAAAACTGATCGATTTTTAATACATTCGTTATTTTTTTCCTCTTTCATTTGCCATGTCGCATGTTAGATTCGATCAGTTGTTTATTTTATACTCTGAAGTCCAAGTCAATAAATCAAAATTTGTATTATAGCAAATCTAATGTTGTCCATAGTGCTCTATGATATTGTGTATGTCGCTATACATTCGTTAATAATGAAGATACTGTGTAGTGCCCCTTTAGTAATCACCTTGTTTGTTTTTTATATGTTAATATATTCGTTATATGTGCTTCTTTTATTTGCTATGTCGCATGCTATGATTCCATCCGTTGTTTATTTTGTACTCAGCCAGAGGCCTTCTTTAAGCCAATAAATCAAAGTTTGTCTTAAAGTAAATCTATTTTTAGCTATAGTCTCTGATATTGTGTATGTCACTATATGTTCATTAGTAACGAAGATATTGTGCAGTGCCCATTTTGTAGCCACCTTGTTTGTTTTTCTATCCTAATATAATCGTTATCCTTCCCCTTGCATTTAAGGCATCACACTCTTCAATCCGAACAATAAAAACGGATATATGATGTAATGCCCACGCTGGGGTTTTCTGAGAGAGTTTTGAGGTTACATGAGAAAATATTAACCTTGAACTAGCTAAAGTTCGCCAACTTTACATTTCATCATGCAGTTCCCATAGGAACCGCTTGCAGAAGATGATTGGACCGAGGGTTAGCCAACAGCCCTGGCAACAGTAACTCTGCGTTTTATAGGCAGATTATAAACTAGCGTCCTAGACGATGACTTGCCTGTTACTTCAACGCAGTCAGTTTTGTAATCATTTTAAATTAATTAAATATTGCATTATTTTAATTGTAACAAATAAAGTTCTTTGTATGTCGCTTTTAGTGATGAGAAGGTCATGAATGAACCGTTCACAAAGATCTGATCTTTTCGAAGACCCGTGATTGATACAATCACATTCTTTGACCCTACCTTCGAATGACCCTATGAATCATGCCATGAACCACGAACGGTGCGAACCGCAAAGGATCGTTTAAACGCTGATTTCAGTTTCCCAGAACGGCGAAACCCTTACGCTGCAAAACTGTAAAAATATTTATAAATTCGAATTTAGTCAATAGTCTCGTAGTCGGTTCTGTTTATAAATGTGTAGGAAATAAAATCCATATTAATTGTTGCATTATCATTCAATCATAAACATAACAATATAGAATTTGTAATTTTACTTAACTTTTTCAAGTATTATCAATAGTAAAACCAATCTTAATGTCAGCCTTAAACTATATTTTATTCTTAAATTTATAGTAACAATATCGAATTCTACACGTAAACAACAATATAATTAAAGTCGTTCTAATGAAGAAATCTCTATGAAGGGTCTTGCATTATCATTAATTCATATACTCTCAGAAATAATCATAAACATATCAATATTAAACTCTACACACTCGACCTTTACACAACAAATTTAATTAGTCGTTCATATGAACGGATCTTTATGAACGGGTCATTTTAATGAATGACCTAGAAGACCCGGGTCACCGAAACAAACCAGGTCTTCCCATCACTAGTCGCTTTACGTTCATTAATACCGAAGATAATGCGTAGTGCACTTTCGATAGTCGCCTTGTTTGTTTTTTCTATTTCAAACAATTGTATGTTTAAATTTTTTAAATACAACAAATTATCTGAGGCGGGGCTGTCCTTTTGGAGAGGTCACCAGATTTAGAGAGTTGCAAGCAGAAGTTTATTGTCAATATTTTATTTCGATAAAAAATAATTTCTATTGGCAAAAATCGACCCAGGAGGAGAGTTCCTTGAACTAGGAGAAGCAGAATTTTAAGAAAAGGAAGCCCTGCCAATTTACAGATTAAATAATGTTGATTTAAAATTTTCAAACGACAGTCATAGGCAGATAGAGGTGTTTTGAAAAGTTATTGGTTATGTGAATAGAAATAGTTTTTCTTATCTGATTCCTAGGATTAAAGGAACATAATATGATCTGCATATTTCGATTTTTACAATTCAGATGTAATAATTTCGATCTGTCAGAAAATTTTATTCAGTTTATATAGCAGGCATATAAATTTTGTAAGGATAAAATATATTGATGTAATTTACATTTGACACTTTTTTATCTTATTTCCTCTTAGTCCTCTTACCAACAGCAGATATACTGAGCCAGGAGCATACATGTAATGTAAAAAATTCATAATTTTATTCATGATTGAGTTTATAAAACACACAAAAACAGGTCGATTTTTATTTTCAAATTATAATTTTTTTGTCATGCACCTAACTCCTTTTTTCAAAGTTAAAGTTATGACGTCATCGACTTTTTTTTTCATGAAATTTTTAATTGAAGTTTTTTTCCTTGAAGGTCCTGAAATACTCCTTGTTATGAAATATTCTAAAATTTTTTTTATAATATACTAGGAGGGAAATGGCGAAAATAAAAGACAAAAGACTACAAGAATATTAAATTAAATCTATTATTGTAAACATTATGAATTATATTAGAAGTTTTGTTTAAAATTTCTTTTTTAATGTGTTTTTACGGCGCTTCGATGATGTTTGATCTATTTACATAGATTTTGCTTTTTAAATAAATCTATACCTAAGTCTAACGAGGTTAAATGCGGAAAACGGGGTGAACACTGAATAAACTCTCTTCTACCTATCTATCGATTTGAAAATAGTTCTTGAAATTAATTCTTTAAGAAGTCTTGTTAAAACCATATATTATTAGACGATACATCCGGATCGTACTAACTAGAAAACGTGACTGATTGAATTGATTGAACTGCGTTTTTACACATTTTCTCGAATATTTCATAAAGTAATTAGAAAATAATACTCTATATAGTTGAATTTTTCTCTAAAAGACTATTTATTTCTTCAATTACATATGGAGTGTCCTATTAGAACAAGTTGACAACGTAACAACTTCGACTAATATAACAGATAAAAAATAAGTTTGCAACAGAAATCAACCGGTTTTTGTTTTTTCAAACTTTGGTAGGTGTGAGAATAGGTCGTATCATATTTATCAGACCACTAAGGAGTAAGGGTAGTTCAAATCAAACATTTTTTAAATTTTTTGGACAAAATTTTTATTTTTTTTGTGATGTGGCATTAAAAAATACATAAAGCTCTTAACTTTCACCTCTCTATTTTTAACCCCTTTTTTTAATAGCTACATTTGTGTCACATAATTAGTTGCTATACTCCTCCGAAATGGCTGGACCGATTTCTTTGAAAGTTTAAATATATATATATATATATATATATATATATATATATATATATATATATATATATATATATATATATTCGGTAGGTCTGTGAATAGGTAATAATATAATTTTGATACCCCTAAGGGGTAATGGTGGTTCACCTTAACCATTTTTTAATTTTTTTAAGATGTAGCATGAAAAAATATATTTAGCCCTTAATTTTCAACCCCCTATTGTAGCATTTGCAATTCATTGATTTTTTTGGTGTATATTGAAATCCCCTTGTATATGTAATATATTGAAATCCCCTCATATATGTTTGAGAAATCGCAGAATATTTTTTAATTTGATTCAATTTCCGATTCGTACGTATTAAAACACCGAATTCTTTCAATTCATTTTAGCGATGCCAACTAATAAAAATAATTTTAGAGTTGTTTATTATTTTAAAGCTGTGTACTTTCTCGGCATTTTCTTTTAATGGTTTATTCGAAGTCGCCTTATAATTTTTGTACGTCGTAGAAATGGAATCTTCTGCGTTTTAATTCCTATCAAGTGTTTGTTATTTCAAGTTATGTGAACGAATTTTTAAGATGAAATCGTCATTCTTACTTGGGTCGTTGTAGACTCAATTATGGATCCAAGTTCATCCTTTCATCCAAGTAGTTTTCTGTTTTTGGCCACTTTTTTGTGGAAATATGTAGCGGTGAAGAATGGTTTTGTGGCGGTTAATAGCTACAGTAAAAGGGAGGTTTAAAATGTAGGTGAAAATGAGCAGTTGTATTTGGTTAGTCGGAGCTACGAGGGTTCCAGTTTTTTTTAAGAAGCCGAGTCAAAGGTATGTTCCAGTACCCCAACTTTCAACCTTAGATTTGTATTCGTCCTAATAGAAGTCCAGTTTACAACTTAATGAGTGATTGTGACATTCAGGTAACTTTTATTGTTTGTTTAATTTTCAAGTAAAGACAGACATTTTTTTAGAAACATAATTGCTTTTGTAACAATTTAAATTTTTTGTTTTTTTTTTAATTGTAAATTTTAGGTTTTGAGTTTAGCTGTCATTTTAAATTTTTGTGTTTTAAATTTAATGTTAACATATGACAGCTAGCTTTATTATTTTCGATATTTATTTGTTTTGTTTGTTTAAAAAAAAAGGTTAACCTCTGTGCGGTAACATTTATAAGTTTTTGTAATATCTCCAACACCTAGAGTTTGTAAATGGATGACATGTAAGTTTTTTGTATTTTGCGACTATTGGGGTAATATTTTTGTATTGTCTTTTTTGAGTATTCGTGTATTTTCTATGTTTTGTAACTGTTTGTGAGAAAGCACCAATAAATGTTAAATTTTGTTTTCTTAACATTTTGTTTATTTTTTTTGAACTAACTTTTTTTTGAGTTTTATTTTAAAAAGATATGT